CCACTTCTTTAGAAGAATGCATCCGCAATTAAACAATAAAAATTAACCAACAAATAAATTGAATTTCCAAGGACAAAGATGCATTTGTGTATATGCATACTGTCTTAATGTGAAGAGATCACTTCAAGAAACTACGGCCATCCAGTCTCTGCCCCTTTCCACACTCTCAGTTCCCAAGCAGAGCAGAAACTCCAAAGTGTCTCATAAGAATCCCACTTGAAATGCAGTACTACACCACATCCCCTTGCACAGCATCCTGACCAGATGTAGCAAGGCCTCATGCTCCGTGGGAGCAAAAGAAAGCATGACAGGAAGAAGGAGCCATATACTCACCATCAACAATGGAACAGCCAGAGACAAGGCTAACACTCAGGCCCCCGGTACCCTGCAGTGCCCCCATATAAAGCAAGCAAGGGATGCTGGGAGAGGATTCCTTTAAAGGTGGATGGGCTGGGTATGGCAGGCTTGCAATTTTTCTTCTGACTTCTCATCTCAAAGGAAATCTAATGCAAAAGCATTCTGAACATTATTTATTTGAGCTATGACCATCTTTTTCACATCATTTCAGTGACAAAACAGCCACCCAGAATCCTTCTGGGCACTACTTGCCCATTAGATCACAAGGTTCGCGCCCTTAAGCGGGGATTAAACAATGCTGCTGTAGGTTTCAGCTGCGTTGTTCATGGGAATCAAGAATGTGTGGAAGTGTTTGCAAAGCGACTCCTTAGAGCATTTGACTGATGGTACCAACGCCTGAGCTTTAATATGCCAACCCACGCCTGCAGCCAGCTCCAGCTCATTGTCATTTTTGAAAGCAAACAAACAGTAGAACCAGTGCTGTGAGTCTGAGGTTCCTGTGCCAGCCTTCTCCAAAGCAGAGAAGGGGCACAGCAGCCAGCTCTCCCTGAGAGGTACCGATCTCACCCGAGGGGCTGCTGCACACAGGGTTCAGCGGTGCCAAGCGGCTGCCTGGGGCGCAGCTCTCAAGGACGGCAGCGGCTGCTTGCTGTGGGATCACCAGAGCCGGTTCTGTGTAACAGGAGCCCACGGGCAACACTCAGGTGCTCCCGCTGCCTGCACCACCTGCCTGGCCTTGCCCTCATTGTGCAGCACGGCAAGGTGCTCTTATGAGAGCAGCCTCCAGGAGCAGAGATGTTTTCTTGTAAGGAAATCGCACAATAGTTCAAGTGGCCAAAAGAGAGAGCTTCTCTCCTCAGGCAGGGTCAGATCTGCTTTGTGCAGCAGATCGTGGGAAAAATCCATCCAGGCTCTAATGCTATCTGAACATGTTGTACACAGCATCTGAAGGGAGATGCTATTTACTCACTGTCTGTATCCCTCTTCTTTTTCTGCCTAAAGCAGCTACCCATTTGCTGTCAGGCCTTTCCTACCGGGAGCCAGAAAAAACCCTGAATCACCCTTCTCCTCATCCCCACCTACACCCCACGCACCCTCAAGTAGTTACCAAGTAACGTGCTGGGGCAAGGGTAAGCAGAACAACGACACACAGGAGGCCAAGCCTTATCCTGTACTTGTGTTATATTAGTTCATTCCCAACAACACCTGAACGCACCACCAAACCTCACTAAGTTTGACAGAGGAATAGCAAAAACAGCTGACTAGGGAGAAGCAGGAGGTCCTGCTAGTACTTCTACTGACCCTCCTTCCAACTACATGTCAGAGAAGTATCCCCTTTTCCCCGATCTCCCCAAACACAGAGCCACACATGTGCACAGGTCAACCCTGAGATGCAAGTTCGTAAGCACTGTTGTTCATTCTACCCAACGGAGGATTTTTCTTCTCTAGAAATCTGCGACAGAATTGTCGCTGAGAAAACAATGATCAGGGAGTAAGTTGCCATACATCCCCTTCTCCGTGTCAGCTTCCTAACAACAAAGAAATTTATGACAGGAAAAAGCCCACACTCTCTCCAGTGACAGCAGTGCCAATTGTCTGTGTCTGGGCCCCGTCATGAGACATGTGCAGAGCATGGCTGAGCAAAAACGACTCCAGGTCACAGCTCTGGCCAGAAAAGACTGAGGCAATGCTGTCCTGTTGGGTGATGCAACCAAAGGCTACGGGGAGGACTGTATTTCTTACTGGGAGCAAATGCCTGTCACTTGGCGTTAGAACTTGCAGCTGGGGGCTGCTGGTAGGTGCTCATGTCGTGGTGGTGACTATGATGGGATTTTTCCATCTCTAAGCAGGAAGCAATGCTGACATTTGGTTTGACTGCCACTGTGAAGCCCTTGAGTTCTCTGCTTGAGTGCAGACAGCAAGGATGAACTCAGTGTAAGGCTGTATTTCAGCCTCACTGAAATAAGTCCTGGATACCTCCTGCCTAGTCCGTGCAGCTCTCTGACTTGCTACTGAGCTGAGCAGGGCTACCTGCAGGCCTGCAGCCTGCAACCCCATGGTGCTTCTGACAGCCATGTGAGCCCTGGGGCTTGCTGGAGGTGCACAATGAAGTGCGTGCCTAAGGCTTCAGCACTTCAGCAGCAGCTGAAGAAGGCTGCGTGATGCTTCAATACCACACTATAACTCGAAGACGCACATTTACCTGCAATGCTGCTTTTGAGTCTTGTCACTCCATGTCAGAATGGCTCCAATGCATTTGGTGGGTTTAGATGTTTCTCTCTGGATTGGCAGAGGTCTGGATCTGGAATTACAGGAGAGGAATTGTTTAAGTAGAGAACATGCGGGTGAGGAACATGCGAAAGAGACTGGCTCATTTCAAGAAAGGATTAGGTACTAAAATAAAATGACTTAAATATACTCTTTCTAAACACATGTAAACATGGGCGATTGCAAACTGAAATAGAAGCACTAATACAAAGTCTTTCTCTCATTCTTTGAACCATTACACCTAAAACTCACTTCTTCCACTGACAGAAAGAAGGAAAACCGAAAGCCTTGTGTCATATACTGCAATCCAGTGAATTTAAGGCCTTTTTCGGATACAGAGGAGAGCAGTCTGCTAACAGTCCAGTACCACCAGTTTCCACACTTTCAGAACAGTTAAACAGATGTTTTAACTTCACCAAAGCATGCACCAGTCTCCTCCAGAGCAGAGCGTGGCAGTGTCCTGCAGAGGCCACAGCACCAGCAAGAACTAGTTCCATCTCCAGACACGTTTGTCAGCAGAGAAGGACTTGAAGGCACCAGGCCTTCCACCATCACCCCTCCTATCCATAAGTGATGGAGCTGGGTGCATTCACTGCTAGAAGGCCTAGCCTCAGCCCTGAGGCAGCTCCAGCACCAGCAAGAGCCCTGACCCACTGGCCTGGTGCTGGTGGCCAGGGCTGGCCTAGGGTCTGGGCCACCAGAACAGCCTGAAGGGACAGGGGCCAGGACCAGCTCCGATAGCTCAGGCAGGGGCCAGGAGTGTCCGAGGACCTGCTGAGGGATGCTGCTACAGCTGGAACCGCTTTGCCAGAACCTGCCATGCAACCTCCTGATGTACAGCAAAGCCCATTACAGGCAAGGTGACAATGGGCATTAGCAGCGTTTTTATGGCTGCGTCAATTTTGTGCTGGCATGTAGACAGGTTGTTTACAAAAACCTGTGCATTACTCATGCACACCAAAGCCCATTTTGCTTTCTGTCACCCCCCGTCCTCCTTTGCTATTTGCTTTGTTTTCATTGCGAAAGCATGGAGATTTAAATGAATTTAAAAAAAAAAAAAGAAAAAGAGGTGACTGGGATGTGAAGACGAAAACTAATGTGATTACGGCTGAATTTGGGCACTGCCAGCGCGTTCCCGTGGTCAGCGGGTGCTAGCAGTAACAGCTGCTGCGCTTCCCATTAGAGGAGAAAGTAAAGAAAGACCTTCCCTGATGGGATGCATTGCCGGCAGGCTGGGGACACAGCAGCAGCAGGCGGCAGGGAGGTAAGTGTGGGGCCAGCGCTGACACGGGCCCAAACCCGCACCCACTCCCAAACGTGGGTGGCTGCAGCCCTGGGGGTGACATTCCCACTGCTTGTGAGTGCGTGGGGAAGGGCACGGGAGGCAGCGTGGGCAGGACGGGAAGGGGGAAACTGTAGCCTGGGAACCTCGGCAGGAGCAGAGCTGCTGCTCAGAAGTACTTGTGTGAGCTGCCATGAGAAACCTCACCTGGCAAAGATTTGGATGTCTCTGCAGCTGGCTCCACCAGCACGAGGGCATCCCACCACTAGAGCAGGGGCAGGGGGTCTGGCCAAGGCTCCTGTGAACCCCAGAACATCTCTGGCACGCAGCTGATGGGAGCGCGAAGGTGCCCTGCTGCAGAAGGTTGAACTGCATCCTTCTGCTCCTGGCCTCAGGCTGAGCACGAGGTGTTTCGTGTGAGAGGTTTTAATCAGCCGGCAAGTTTGAAAGTGATGTAAACGGAGGTGGGCACTGGATCTCTGATTCTCTTTCATGTCTTTACATCTATTTACTGACTGAACATAACAATATCTAAGCCAGGAAAAGCTGCACGTTGAAAAGATTAGGAAGAGCTACATTAAAAGCCGGACAGTAGGCAACAAATGTAATGTGCTCACTCTTCATCCTCATTTTCAAAAGGGTATTTTCAAAACCGGAATAAGAAAATACCCTGTCTAATCTGGAGATGTGCGTTTTGCCAGCCACCCAGCCTGGGTGATAACCAGCAGCACAGAGCGCCAAGCACAGAACTTGTGGAGTTCAGCAAGGGTAGAAGGAGTTGAGCTGAGTCATCAGCATGCCCACACAGGGCCTTATCCTCCTGCTAAATATGAATTACTGGAGCAAGTCTCTGCCAGACATTTACCCCTTCGGATGACTTCACTAGAAACATGTCCTCTGGCAGTGTCTTTTCCTGCCCAACCTCAACAATGAACGTCCAAATGTGGAAACCTGTGGATTCCCAAAAAGGATCCACGTGCCATGGGGACCATTTATTCCTCTTCTTTTAGAGGCTGTGGGAAAGGTCGCTCAGCTGACTGGGAGTGACGGACACCGTTCTGCAGTGGGTGCACCGGCCACGTCCCCGCGCATCATGGAGGAGAGGCAGAAGGCCTGCCTGGCGGTGGCTGCCTGTGTGAGCACCGTGCTCTGCCTGGTCTCGTCCACATCTGCCTTCTCGCACGGCGCCGGCCCCTCTGCCTGCACTGACATGATGCCCAGGCACCTGCGGGCTCAGCTGCACAGCCCCACCAACAACTACGTTACCGTCCACACCAACGTGTCCTTCTACGTCCCGGGAGACAAAGTCCCAGGTGAGGACAGCTGCTGGCTCTGTCTCGGCCCAGTCCCACAGAAATCCCTAAAGCAGTTATTGGTCTTTGCTGGTGGCAGTTTCGCAGGCAGTCTTTCAAATTATATCCGTTTGTGACTCGAAACCCAGTGTACTGAGCAGAGCAGCTTTCTGCTCCGTGCTCCTGACTCGGAGGAGCAATTATTTAAGAAACATTCGTGAATCTGAAAAATCCACACTATCTAATCGTGAGTGATGACATTAATCTTAGAGAGGGATGGGAAGAGGGACACCATCCTCACAGCACAGCTCCAGGTGCGTTATGCCATATCTCATCACTAGAAAATGAATGTATTCACAGAGAGATCCTGTCTGCAGTGCTTTGCCTCAAGCTTTCTCAGGTGGTGCCTGGCCCCAGATCCCCACCGTGCTACACATCAGAGACAGCTGGCAGGTTCGGGTGCTTTGGGTGGGATTTATCTCAGCTGCCTCTCACCCGTACAGAACCCCCACGCAGTGGCACGTGAGAGGCGCCTGCGGAGGGCGAGCCACCCCCTCTGCTGTCACCCTGTGAGCGACGGGCTCTCCTCAGGGCACGAGGGCTGATTGCCTAGGCTGCAGACAGAGCTGAGAGGCACCATCCTCCAGCCCAGCCAATTTCCCTTTCCATCCCCATCCAAAATAACTCTCCTTCAAGGGCAGCATGCAATCATCTGCGTGTGTGCAGTGTGGTACCCAAACCTCTCCTTAAAGGTGGCTGCATACTGCCTAGTGCAACGTGGTTAGCATTACAATCTAGGAGGAAGAAGACTCAAACCAACTGCCTGTGCAATTTCATACTACAAAGCGATAGTCTGGCACCCCGTATCCAGCACATCCAACACAGATTGTAAGGGCAAAGGTTGTAGGATGCTGTGGTTTTGGTTTTTTTTGTGACAAGGTTTTCTTTTGATTTCACAAGTGCCGATGGGAGTTCCATCACAAAAAGTTCACCTGAGAACTGCAACACAAATCCCTTTGTGTCCCATGTTCTGCCTTGCAGTGACAGTGAGGAGCAGCCGGGATTTCATGGGCTTTTTGCTTCAAGCTCGCAAAGTGTCTAACGATGAAACTGCTGGCACATTTGTCTTCATTCCTCCCGGCTCCAAGCTGCTGTCTTGCTTTGAAGACGGTGATACTGTCACCCACTCGGACAAGTCCCTGAAGAGAAACCTGTCCTTTGTATGGAAAGCGCCGGACCAACCCATTGGAGACATCAGGTTTTTGTAAGAACACGTCAGTCCCTGACAGTGTTGCTGTCCTCACACTTCCAGTCTTTCTCGTCTTTCAGCTTTCACAAATTTGGTTGCATTTTTCCATTGTACTTTCCTAGCACGGTGGTGTGAAGTCTCTTGAATCCTATAGAACTAAACGCTTATGAAATCCTGCAACAGCATCCCAGCTGATATATAAATCTCCTTTTGTATCTGCTGGGTACTGCTTTTTTTTACTTACACTGTTTTCTCAGAATAAACGCGCTGGGAGATGACAGCCTAAGCAGTTAGGAAACAGAAACATTAAGGCCTAAGGAGAGAACTGTGATCAGTCTGTCTGTGATCAGTCTTTTCTAAATAACGCACCCTGTAGGACTTCCCTGCCTACAGGACAACGTCACGTGCCATTGCTGTGTTGAATTTTTTTTTTTTTTTGCTTACTGTTTGGTTTTTTTTTTCATGTTAAAGGTAAAGAGAGTTATTCCCAGGAGGACTAGGTGGGGAGCACTGGGTCAAAACCTTACACCGCTGACTTGCACCAAAGTCCAAGTGTTTTGGTTCTGATCCAGAATTAAAAACAAATAAATACATAAATCTAACTGGCTGCCTTAGAGGGAGCACGGGGATTTTTTCATTTTAGAATAGATTAAATGGTTTTGACTTTACAAAATTGCTTAGAAGCTCCTTGGCCAGATCCCTGGCTGCTCCCCTAAACGCAAGCCTCCTGCTGAGCGCTGTGGCTCGCACATCTCATCGTGATTCAACACAAAGTAATTGAAACAAAAATATTTCTGCTCAGCATTTCCATTTTGCCCGCTGTTACAGACTGGGAAACACTATTAAAAACATGTGAAAAGCAAACAGATAAAAATAGCCCAAATGCTGCCATGCCCGTTCCTAGCCGCCCACTCTGAACCCCCCTGCACCCTGCAGCTGCTGCCCTCCAAGCCAGCCCCACAGCCCTTCCCTTCTCTCCCCAAGGCCGTGCCGTGCCACCAGCCACGGGCCATGTCTCCAGAAGAAACTCCGACTGCTCCCTCCTCCCTGTCCTCTCCTCGTTTCCCACGTCTGCTGCTGCTTCTGCTCACAGATTCCCACCCCTCCCGCCCCCAAATTACTTATAAATCAGTAAGCCTTGCCATAAACTTTGGGCAGATTTAACGCAGAAAGCAAACAGCACGCGTAGTAAAGGTGATCCCCAGCCGTGTTGTAAATCCACGTTTCATAACTTGTGTTACAACATCCGAGAAAGGTACTTGTTCCATTTAAAAGTGTCTCACAAGAACCGTTCAGCACACGAAAGGCAAGGTCGTTCCCCCTTTATCTCATCTTCGCAGGCATCTGAGTGATGTGAGCTGAAATCCTCCCCCAGGACGAAGTTCCCCCACGCTTGGGGACGTGCCTAAAGGTTGGCACCTGATGAAAAGCAGAGTGTGAGGCAGGTGCAAATATTGAAGGGCTCAGAAGAAACTGCCTGTGGCTTTTTCTACCTATTCTGCTGTTTGCACAAGTTACACTGACCTGTTTTAATTAGTAAATACCTCTGTTGTCTCCCTGCCTACGGAAGATTATATGCAGAGCTATTCAAAGTTTTCCAAATCTACTTCTACCAACACGGTGAATATAATAGCTTTTTTTTCTTCTTTTCAGCTCCCACACATTTTTGACTGATTGTAATTATGAGTGATCCTTCACTCACTATCTTTCATGTGGGACCAGGTATCTTTTTATTTGCAATATGAAAACGTGTGACGGGCTAATCCTTTAAAATATTTTCACGCTGCCTTTGGATTAAAGCACTCCTTCTGATTAGCTGAGCATTCTGATCTTTTATTAATAACTCTGAGAGAGTAAATTCCTGCATAATTATCTTTTAACAGCATCTCTGTAGTCCAGTCATACTTTGTTTACTGGGCAAGGATCGAATCGGCCACCGTGGCTCAGCGAGGGCACAACAACACATCTGCTGGAGGCAGCAGGAAGGCCGGCCCTGCAGCACCTGCACCCACGCAGGAACCTGCAGGCCCCCACGTAGCTGGCACAGCAAGCAAAGGTACGTGGTTTGTTGCTGACAGTTTCCAGCTGGGTGCTTCTATGGCTAATTCCTTGTAACCGTTGCAGACAGAAGAGATAAACGAGCTAAAGAGGCTCATTTAACTTTTTCAGCTGCTGGCGAGATCGGCGATGGCCATGAAGAACTCCCTGATGAGAAGGCACAAACGGGCATCCTAGGTAACAGTCAGACCAAGGAGGGTACCAACAGGATAAACACTGTTGCCGGATCCTACGATTTGAATGAAAACCCGAGAACGCTGCTGAAAATCCCCACATGTATTTCACCTAAAATCCTAGGTCCTAAAGACAGGCAAATGCAGTTGGCAAAGCTGCCCACATACTCCGGTCATACTTTTGTCTCTAAATGTGACTGCTACCCTTCAGGCATGTAGTTGTTTGTATTTATGCTGCCTCTGGTTTGTAAAAGGCTCAAAGAATTTACTTGCATTTCAGTCAGATCTGTTTCTCAGCCTTTATGGCATAGCATCAAGTCTGAGCTTTAATTATTTTACCCGAACGCCATCAGGCAGCAGGCTTTGCTTCTTTACTCCCTGTCTGGGTTCCTACTTAAAACCAAGCGCCTTAAAAATAAAATCACTGCTGTGATCCTTACTGGTAAATGCTAGCACCAAGTGCCATTTGAAAGAAACAAAACTAAGGAAGTCGACTTCCGCTCCTCTCTTGCTTTTTGCTCTCTCTGTCTCTTTGTCTCTCTGTCTTGCTAGGCTCTGGCTCGTCTACTGCCATCCCCAGCTCTCTCCAGTACACCAGCCCAGCTCCGGTCAGCCTGGCTGGCATCCATCCAACACCAGCACAGGGTTCAAGCATTGCTGTCCACTCAGATATGCAGCCCACCACAGAGCCAACGCTGTTGTCCCAAACCTTGAGGGGTGCCTCCAGCAGGAGTGGAGGGAGCAGCCCCACGAGCAACTCAAGGCTGGAGCCATCGCTTGCCTTCCAAGAGCCAGGCCTGGCTGATGATCTGCAAAGCTTCCTCTTCCAGGACTACGCCTCCAGGCAGAGCCTCTCTGGCAGGTACTGCACCACGTGATAGCCAGGTAGTGGGAACGACTGCTTCTCCAGCAGTCCAGGGGAAGGAAATCAATGCTGGTTTTAGTGCGGATAAATAAGGGTGTTTGTAAGGTGTGTGTGGCTGCGGGGGCAGGTGGGAGGATGCTTGCTTGCTGAATTTTTGAAAAATAATCCTTTAGTGACAGACGGTGGCATTGAGACAGTCAGAGCGCAGGCCTTGCGCTGATCAGCCCAGCAGAGCTGCCCAGCCAGGTGATTGAAAAATGGGATAAAAGCTATTGACCAGAGTTGATTGCTGCAATATTTTTCTACAACTGTGTGCAAATATCCAAAGAAACGGCGAGCATAACAGAGCTATTTCTCCACCTGCAGGGAAAAGGAAGAAAGGATTTAAAGCAATTATGAAATGTTGCCTTGAGGAGGTCTGCTCATGAAAGGCCACAGGATCTTTAATGCAATGTATTACACTGTGGAGTAAATGATGAGGCTATGACTAAATGATCAGACGTTATGGAACGCACGGCCTACATGGTCTGTGCTGACTGTATGTACCACGAGGCTGCTCCAGCAAGCGGCACTCCTCACAAATCATGCACACTGTAGAGCTCAGGAGTTCTGTGTTCTGAAATGGCAGGTATCGCATATTAATTCTGTCTCTTCTGTTTCAGAGCACAAAGTAGTGCCAGCACTACCAACCCACACCTGTGTGTGATGTGTAAAGATGAGCAGGTAAGCACTGAGGATGGGGAGGATTCTTTTTTGTTTTCTCCAAAAACACCAACTGCTAGAAGCTGGTGAAAATTCTTACAGAAGTTGAGGATAAAACCTCTCTGCTGCTTCACAGCACCAAGAAGCAAGTGCATGTCTCATGGGTGACTAAAATTACTTTGAGGTTATTGAGCTGTTTGTTGTTGTTGTTTTTTTTAACCTTAACTGGGAATTGGTTTTTATCTCTCTCTCTTCTCTTTTCTTCTTTCCTGACGCCTGGGTTGCTAAGAGTTCCACTGCAAAAACAACCCAAAGTAATTTTTTCTGTATGCAGCCACGGCCACAGCTTCATGCTGCTGGATGTTACTGGGCTGGAAATACGCATTTTATTCCAGGGGAAGGCTGAGACGCTCCTTTCTAGATGTGCCTGGCAGGTACTGCTCTTTACATTCACTTTGGTGAAATACTTATCCATGTTGGTGCAGGCCAAGGACGCTGTGTGCTTTTGGAGGGCAGATCCACACCACTCTGTGGACACAATAATACCATATCCTCCTCAGCATCCTAGAAGTGGGAAGAAATTGGAAGCCTGTTTCTTTGCTTTTTTACAGAGCTGAGCTTTACTTCCTAATACTACTTCTTGGAGCGGCATCCAAAATTAGTCTATTTCCCCATCAGGAGTTGGCATCTCTCTCTGCCCAAAGCTCCTTGAAGTCACCACCTCCTTGTGGTGTCACCGAAGGCCTGCTCTGTATATCAAACATAAACACATAGAGCTTCTATGGCACCTCTGTATTTCTCTGAGCGCTGACATGCATACAAAGAAAACAAGGTCTCTCGTGCTCACACAAGCACACATCAGGAAGAGAGGTGAAAACAAAAGAGGAAGGGCCCATTCAACAGATAACGAAACATATTTAGAAAGGGCATAGAACAAATTAACGAGAGACATGTAATGCGAGCATGTGGCATAGCAGTAGGGAGAAGAGAGGAAATGGCTGAAGATGGGAACTAATGGAAAGGAAGACTGATCGTGCAAGGCAAGACCAGAGAGCGTAATGAAATAAAAATACTGAAAAATTAAGCAAGAAAGGACAGAAGCAGTACAGAGAGGAGAAAAAAGGTGAGGCAGAGCAAGTTCTCTTTCTACAGCAATGCCCCAAATCCTGCAATGCATCCCTACGTGTGATTACACGAGGAGGTCCAGCGAGCCACACACATGCGATATTAACCTTGCCAGTCAGCTACAGTTCGCAGTTCAGTTACAGAATCTTTTTTAACCTACTACCTATCTTTTACTAGCATCTTTCTTTCTTTGGACATTGTCTCATCCTCTGCAAAGGATGCTCTGTGACTCCCCCTTACTTTTGTTCACAGCTTGCCAAGGTTCCTACCGCAGCTTTGTGGTCCTGTCACACTGTCTTTCCAGCAAGCTTTCAAATTCACTAGTGAAAGCAGAGGGTGAGATTTTCTCTGGTGTAATTAACTGATGTGTGGAAGAGCCTGCTGGGCTGGACAGGCTGGAGAGTAGCCAGCCACTAAGGGTCAGATCCAAATCTCAGCAAAGCCAAAGAAAAGACTCCAGTACATTTCTCAGGGTTTGGATTGGGCCTCAGGTGAACAGTGGGAATAGAAAAATTCTGGGGGGGCCTCCTAAACTGTAGGATTGTTTCACAGTTAGTCTTGGATGGTATCTGCAGAAAAACCTGGACTGCAGACCTGGCTGTCATTTTGTGACTGATAAAATAAAGTGCTTGGCACTACGGAGAGCCCCTAGAAAAGCACAGGAGCAAGCAAGAACAGTAATGTGAGCTATCACGTGTGGCTAAACAACAATGAGAGGTAGCAGATTTCAAATGGGCTGTGGAGACTGAGAAGACAAGACAGACTCTAGGGAGAAACCGTAGGTTTTATGTGACTGGTCCAAAAATGCTGATGCCAAAATGGCCTTCTGGGTCCTTCAGTTCCAAGTTTGACCCACAGCCTTTGAAGGGCTATGCTGAATTTCAGTGGACCCAGTGTGAACTTAAAGACAAATCATGGCTGGGAAGATACATCCATCCATTCAGAACGACGCTGGCACCACCAAAGGCAGGAACGGTTCATTAAGTGGTTCTTCTGTTATAGCACTGACTGTGCAAAATACCACAGTGAGAGTCGCAGACTTGTGCAAAGCAGTGAGTGACCCGCTGCTCCTTCCTCTCTGCTCCTTCACACGCTCCCCCTTGCCCCACGGCACCAACTGCCTCATCTCCCCCAACAACTGTGATACAGACAGAGCAGTGTTCAATCTAGCTCAAATGTTCAATATCCCAAATGCTACTGAGTAACCAGAGGATGAAATAGGGTTATTCTAAGGCTGAGGGACACTGTAATCAGAAACAGAGCTGAATGACAGAGTGAAGTCAGCAGCGGATGAGAGCCTAATCAACCTCCTTTCTATTCCCTCACTGGATTTCTTGTCACATTTTTGCTTTCAAAGGCAAGTACTGAGAACGGGGCCGCCCTGGAAACTTCCCTGCCTGCAGCAGCCTCTTGGTCTGCCCTACACTTAAGCGCTCACCTGAGTGAAGCTGCCGTGACAACAGCCTGGTTTGGCAATGAGGACACCGTCAGCAATTTGTCATCGGCCTGGAGGCAAATGGCAGAAAGCAAACCATCCCAGTGGCCAGAGGAGGGCGAGGAGGAGGTCAGTGAGGAGGTGGGTGGGCACACGCTGCCGTGGGTGACCAGAGCAGGTCCCAAACCCGCTGTCCCAGGGAGGGGGGACGGCTCTCGCAGAGGGACACGTCTGATAGCGGCCCAACTTGGCATCCTCCTCGTCTGCACGGCGGTGCTGGGGCTGGCCGCGGCGGCTGGCCTGCGCTATGTCTGTGCCCGGTACTGCCACAAGAGGACAGAAGTGTCCTTCAGCGAGCCAGGCAACAACGTCATCGCTGTGAAGGAAAGCGGGGAGATGATGCACTTCCGCAAGATCCGCGAGAACAGCTTTGTGCTGGTTCAAGCTGAGTACAACTGGATCGGCCCGTCAAGCAGCGGGACGAGGAGACTAACGTAAACATGGGCAGTACCCACAATAGTGCCACGGGGGTGAGCCAGCCACCCCGTAGATGCAGACGGCTGAGATACACGTAACACAGCCTCTAGAAAGCAGTAGTGTCCTTGCTGCCTATAGGCAGACAGACAGGTGTACAAACTCGATGCAGCTGGCTCAGCTAGATGTGTTAACCCAAGTATCTGAGCTACGGCTGCTAAGAGAACTAAAGTAACGACTGTTCTGCGTGTTACACCTACCACAATTGATACTGTACATCTGCTCATTAACTGTCACTGCAACCATTACTCTTCCTCTGTTGCTTTAAGGCTGTAGCAAAAACCTCTGAAATTCTTCCTTTGCACTGTGCTGTTGTCTCCTCTTTTGTCTCTGAAAAAGCTTCTAGAGTTAAAATCCCCTTTCCTTTCTAGGAGCTAGAAACCCTTGGTTTAAACCCCCATTCTCATTTAGAAGCTTACAGGTTCAGGTCTGTGCACTTGCTATGCTTCAGATGACAAAATACTTGCCAGTAGATTCAAAGTTTCAACGGGAAAATAAAAAGCAGTAACTGACGCGTACAGAACATCGATCCACAGAATGCTGAATTGATCTAAGGGAAAGAAACACAAGGTGGTAGAAACCAGTTTTTGGGGAAGAAACATGCCTCCTCATCAGGTGCAAATGGAATAAAACCTTTCGTATCCATTTGCACCTGATGAAGAAGCTTGTTTAAGCCTGACAGCCAACATTTACTTTGTCTTTTACTTTGAGTCAGGCCAGTTGACACTCCAGTGTGGAAACACACACTGAGAAACACCCTTCCCAGGTCACTTTGGAGATCCCCGGCAAAGGCTGCCTGGTAAGTTAACAGCATCCTTGTGCTCTGACTTTGTGCAAACTCTCCTCCAACTGCACGGTTTTCAGCAGGAGGCCACAAAAACAGCCCTTGGAAAACATGAAGAACCTTGATGCATTCTAAGAAGAGAAAGTCATGACAGCAAGGGCAAAGGTTTGTTTTACTGAAACTTCGAAAGAGCAAGAAATAGTTCTGACGATGATCCTCCTGAGCTGCAAACTTAAGAGCCTTTCAGAAAGCAGTGATTCCCCTCTCTGCTATCCTTTCCTATGGCGAAGGGGCTCACGTTGTCTTCCGAGCAGCCGCGTGCAGAACCGACTTAAACTCTGGTGCTGCAACTTATTCCACAGGCCACAGTGCTCCCATCCTGCCAAGCTAAGCGCACACCTGCACGTGGAACAGGATCCCACTTCCTTCCTGGTGATGGGGACACCAGGCAACTCCCTGCTCTGGCAGCAGGGCTCTGCAGTTATCCCCAGCCAGCTGGCCATCTCCATGTTTCATAATCAGAGAAAGCCCCGCTCTCACCTCCTCCCTTACATTGCCATGACCTCAGTGGATACACGAGATGCTATTCTCCTGTTCAGCTTCCTGCAGTGTGAGTAGCATAGCATGCCCTTTGCTAAAAGAGTCTTCCACACTCAGAGTTTATTTCTGGCCACGCTACTGTACAGAGACTGGTGACATGAAACCTTGTAGTCCGCACAGCCAATTTTCTATCAAGTAATAATAAAATAAACAAGTAAAAAAAATAAGCGTACTCACAAATGCAGACTGCAGAAATGAGGCAGTTTTAACCATTGCATTTGCTGAGAAGAGCAGCTGCACCAGGGCCCTTCCACTGCAGGGTGGCCAGGGTTTGGGGTGCTGTAATAGAAAATTTGCTTCAGGACTCAAGGGACTTAAAGTTTTCCTAGTCAGTAAGTTGAGCTAAAACATTACCTACTAGGAAGTCTGTAGGTTTTAAGCACAGGTCCAGATGCACGCAATGGAGTTCCCCTTTTATGTCCCTTATAGAAAAAGAATGCTTCCCTAACTCAGTGTAGCTGAACCTTCCAGTAACTCAAGTAGACCGCATTTAATTCATTGTTAATGCAGCCCCAAAATTCCTAATTAACTGAGAAAATAGGTCAACAAACTCTGAAATATTTAAAGAACTATCACATATTATTTCAGAAAACTTCTCATGATGGCATAATTGTTTATGAATAAATTACAAATACCTATGTCCTTTTCCACCCTCTCTCCAGCTTTAATCTTATCAGACTGGCACAGCTTGAAAAATGCCCCTCTCCTCTCCCCAGCACTTTCCCCATTGCCCAGTACTGTTCTTGCCAGGCTGGCTGCAGAAAACAAAGGCTCTGGTGTAAAAGAAGATGTCTGATCAGGAGAGGAGCACTTCAGTGGTACTCTTGCCTTCTGCCAAACTTTACTTTCTGTTAAATTCATGCAGCTCTGGTATTATTAGTAGTAAAAACAGTAATGCTGAGCTCCAAGGGACTCTATCCTCTGAATTAGTAATGAGTGCTGCTACTTTGTGGACTTGGCTGAGACCGAAAGTGCTTGTGTTTCTCTCTTGCCTTCTGCATGATGCTTCGTTTATTGTCATTGCAACGACAAGAAGGATCGGGGTTTTCTCTCTTCTTAATGCTGTGAAAAACCCAAGCACTGATTAATTCATTAAGAGGCAAATCATTCAAGTGCCCCACGTTCTTAAGTGACCTGCCTTTTATTGAAATTAATCTGTGCTCGCGTTTGTAGCAGATTTAGAAGAAAAAAATGACAGAGCACAAAAAGAAAAGACACAAACCATTCCAAGAGAAATTAGAGCGAGAAGGGCAAGAACTTCCCTTGCAGGGTGGATGACTGTGTTGGTCACAAATGTAGACAGTGGGGGATCTTAGTTCCTCCATGCAGGTCGGCCTGGAGCAGTCTGCACCCATGTGAGGCTGCCATCCCTCAGCCAAGTGCTTGGTGCCTGAGCTGCTGGCAGAAGGTACCAAAAGGAGCTCCCACCTATCCCTAATTCACACCCATCTATGTCTGCCTCCCACCAGTCAAACAGGCATCAGGTACAGCTTTGGCAGTGCAAACTCCTATGGCTGCAATTCTTTGGTGACGTTACGATGCTTGAGGTTCCTAACTTAAAAAAAAAAAACAAACAGCCATAATTTAGAAGCCACTAACTACTGCACGGAAATGCTCATTTATCACTCCTTTACCTGCATGCTCATTTTCCCATCTCACGTCACTGAGATTGCTACTTTCCCCCCCTCCATATAAAGAAAAACCCACTGCCCTCACATCGTCAATCCTGGGTGCCAAACGTCTACTTCCATCACCGATTCTATCTGCTTTACCACGGTATCGACAACAGCTTGGTTTTGCCTTTCCTAAGTGTGTCCCCTCTGACTGGGAGCTGATGCTTCCTCATACTATGCTGCAGATGCCTTATTAAAAGATTCCTAACCCAACTCCAGTTAACAGAGGATGGCAGCCCTCTGCTCTATCAGTGGCATTAAATGTAAGGCAGAGGGGTTGCATTAAGCAAAGCATTTGGCCCAAAGCTCGCTTAAATCATCGTGGACATCTCCCATATTGGCTGAATTGTCACTATCAAGCAAATATCAAACACGCACTGATTTTGCCTGCTTCAAAATGTGTGACAAGACTCACAGGAGAAGTCCAAAGCTGGAAGCTTTCACCGCTGAGGTCACGAGGAACATTTCCATTGATTTCTGAAGGATCACATCCCTGCCCCACGCGTGTAACCTAACGCCAGCTGGAGCGGTTGCCCAGGATGCGCAGAGTGGGGCAAACCCCGGCCAGCTTTGTTCTCAGCACTCCTCTCAGAGCAGAGCTGGACGAGATCCTGGGCAGCACGGGGATCTGTCACAACGGCTCGGCCAGATCTTTGGCATAGTTTCTGCAGCTACTGGAGACGACACAAACCAAGGGAGGCAAAGCAGCTGCGCCAGACTGAAACGCTCACCAAGGCCCTGCAACAAACTGAGCACTGGAGAGGCCGCGTGGGCCGCCCTGCTGAGGAGTGAGGTTCGGTCCTCTCCCTCGCCCCTGCTGACCCACCTGTGCCTCAGCCAGCTCCTTACTGTGCCGATGTACGCATTGTTTCGTAAACTCGCCATGAAAAATGCCTGTGAAGAGGAGATGCTAAAACGATTCCTGCAGTGTTCAGCTGCAGAAAGACAACTGTTTGCCAGCCAAAACCAACAGCAAAGTAATGACCTGACCCGCTCAGCAGGTGAACAGCAGAGCAGCCCTTTCATTCCTCCTGATAAGCCAGAGCCTCTCCACTGCCTCTGCCACAGTCTCAAGGCTGAGAATGAAAGCCAGCAGGTCTGGGCAGCTCAGCAGTACCTCCTTCCTACCTTTTCCCTCCCCTTTCCCTGCAGTTTCCCCCAAGGCACCACACTGTGTACAGCAGGGAAACGAAGCACCTTCCCATCAGCTATCCAGCAGGATTTGGGGGGTCGCAACCACCCTGGGACCGTGCACTTATCTGTAGCCTCTCCTTAGCCTCCCTCTCACCACAGATCCATTTTCCCCCCTTCACGTCTCATTGCAGAAGCACTCTTCTCTCATTAGCATGTCTCTCATTAGCGTGACTCTCCCAGTAAGGCATTTTGTTATATGATGTATGAAGGATCATGTCTCACACCACATTTTACTGTATATTTAAGTGAATGTTTTGCTGATTTACTGCTGTTCTAGGGAACGTCTCCTTCTCTTAGCAGGGCAGGTCCTCAACGGATGTACCAGCTCTGACTAATGATTATTAGCACATCCCAAGGTTATGGACTACAATCAAATAATGTGCAGGAGGGAAAAGAGACTCCAGCTTACTGGGCTAAGGACAAAGATCACAGCTAGTCTCTGAATCTTCAGATTGCAATATCCATTACAGATTGCCACCTTCTAATGTCAAAGAATAATTTGCTGTTCAGAAAATGTGTTGCTATTTCAAAGGCAAGTCAAAGATCAGACTCGCTGTATATCAGTGTGCTGATGTACATTAGGAAGTGATGTCCAGGTACCAAGGACATTACGCTGTTGGTATAGAGGAAAAGACAGAAGACGTGACTCGCTGATCTACATTATGCAAACACATGGCCCAAAGTGGAGAAGTATTTAACCCAGTCAAGTAAAATGTCACCACTAATTCCCAGTGCTTAATGTCGCACAAACACTACATGTCAGATAAGTGTGGTCCTCTGTGCTAGCAGCAGACATGAAGCAGATCAACCCTCCGTGCTGGAACTTGATGGGAAGAGTTAAAGCTCCAGTAACCACGAGCAAGAGAAACTCCCCTATGGGAATGCAAAGCACATTTCTCTCACAACCCTGGACAGGTAAGTGGGCAGTGCTGCACGTGGGAACTCTGCCACAACTCTCCAGCTATCGGCCAAGTGAGGAGCAGGCTTTTTCCTCACAGCCTTTACCTAGATGCAGTTGGCTGCAAGTCAAAGGTGTCCAGAGCACTAAAGGAACAAAAGACGCTCACAAGTTAATTTCTAGCCTTTTATAAACTGTTTTACGAAAGCTTCTTGTTCATGCCTTCCCAAATTAGAAAGAAACTAAAATAAAATGGTGATTACCACCTGAAATGTTTCCTATTTATTTCCGACAGAGATAAAAGCGACCTAGACCAATGCTTTTACAGGTTTTCACACTGATACCATTTTACCACCTCTAGTACCTCACCAGCAGGGCCCTGGTCTCACCCTAACTCCTAACCACACCTAATGTAACAAACATGCAGAAGCCTATTTGACTTTTGCCATATTCAGACATTGGATCCAGTCTGAATAAAGGCAAGTCACAGCCTTTCTGTCACCCGAAACAAACCTGAACCTAGGTGCTCGTATCCGAATGAGGGATGAACCCTAATGAACTGCCGAAAGAATTAAAGGACAACAGAATCATAAAGGTTGGAAAAGATCTCTAAGATTATGAAGTCCAGTCACCAACCCGTCCCCACCATGCCCGCTAACCACGTCCTTCAGTGCCACATCCACACAGTTCTTGAGCACCTGCAGGGACAGTGACTCCACCGCCTCCCCGGGCAGCCTATGCCAATGCTTGACCACCCTTTCGGCTAAGAAATGTTTCCTAATATCCAACCTGAACCTCTGAATCGGCAACTTAAGGCCATTTCCTCTCTCCCAATCGCTATTAAGCGGGAGAAGAGGCCAAGCCCCACCTCAGCACCTCAGGTCACTGCTGAGGGCAATGAGATCCCCCTGAGCTTCCTCTTCTTCAGACTGAACAACCCCATCAGCTTCGGTCAGCCCTCCTCACCAGCTTTGTGCTCCACTGCCCTCCTCCGGAGGCGCTCCAGGACCTCAACGTCTCTCACGTTGAGGGGCCCAAAATGGACGCGGTACTCGAGGTGCGGCCTCACCAGAGCCGATCACCTCTGCTGCGGCGGCCTTGCAGAACACATGTGCACGCTGCTGCCTCTCGTCCAGCCGAGCGCTGCCCCAAGCCTCCAGACCCTTTTCCACACAGAAAAGCACACGCAGAGCGTATCTTACCCCGCCGCACGCCTTCTTTCTGCCGATGTTTAGGGACTTATCGCAACGCAGAGTGCGAAACTTCCTTACGCCAGCCCACCCGCGGCGGCTGAGGGCCACGCGGTGCCCGCTCAAGGCCCGAGTCGCGGTCCCGCTCCCGCCCCGCCGCAGGGCCCGGCCTGCACGGCCTCGCGGCGCCGCCAGAGGGCAGCGTTGCTCCTGCAGCTCCGCAGCCCGGCGGGACGGTGCTGGGAGAGGCGCTGCGCGCGGCGCAACCGAGGCAGCGCGAAGCAAAGCGGAGACGCGGGAAACGGAACCGCTCAGCAACGCCGGGCTGTGCGGGCTGCTCCCAGCACCGAGCTTCGCTCTATAACACGGGGATCGGGAAAGGGCTGATGTGCTGGCTAGCGTTCATCGGCTCCTTCCAGTCTGCATGAGAGGTTCAGCTGCAGAATCCCCCTTAAAATAACGCAGAGAGAACAAGGAGTGGAAGGAAGAAATTAGTTTCTGCAAACAAAGAGTGCATGCTGAAACTCCCTCCGTAATTTCCTGTACTGCAGCCCCAGGACGACCATCAGTCCCCATCCATCAGCTCAGCGTCCCGATTCGACTTCTGATAGCACAACTGTCCTAGTTCCTAAGCAAAACCACACAGAAGGGACGAACAGAACTGCACACGCGGTCATCTGCACGATTTATCCGGCAAAGCCCATTACTTCTGTCTGGAAGCAAATTAATAATAATTCCCATCTCTTTTGTCAGTGTGAACTTAACGTAGGCCAAAAAGTCATGGGAAGTTTTCTTCAGAGGGAAGTCCATTCAAAACGGAACAAGAAAAAAGCTTAATTAAGTCTTTTTTAAATGAAAACCACTCAAGGCTTGACTGTTAATCAAAAGAACATTACTTACCTTACTCAGCATAGCTGGAACCAGGAGCTGGCAGCGGCTCTTAAAAAGGATCTCTTTTGTCTTTCTTTGGTCAGAACGTACAAAAGACTCCAGCTGAACTTTGGCTCTAAATGCTCCTTTCCCTCTGCTAACATATTGTGCTTCTGGGATTTTGTTCAGAGCAAACATTTTGTTACTGAGACAGTGTACTCCAAAATTTGGGCTTCTGAAAAAGCTGCAAATGAGCTCCAAGCAGCGGCTCTTCCAACAATACTGTTATGCCGTCTTAAGAAACCATATAGTTGGGATTGTTTCCACTAATGCTGGAAATTGAATTGAAATTTCTCACCAAATTTAATTTTCACGCATAGAAAAGTACTGCTTGCTGCACACCGGAGCATATTTATGTATAAACCAAAGCTAAAAATGCAAATGGGGTGAATTAGCAGGGAGACGGCTGTGGAAAATGAATAGCCAGACAAGCAAAGCAACCTATTAAATACACGCGAGATCATAAACCACAGAACACAGAAGATAATTCAACGCAAACACTGTTACACAAGGAGAGCATTTTTTCCATGTGTAATACACACCTTACTTAAAAAAATAAACATAATACACACCTTACTTAAAAACAAAAATAAACAAACAAAAAAAACAGCTACCTAAAAATCTGCCCCCCCAAACCGTAAGATCTTACTGTTTTTGAAGACTGCCCTGAAAGACACTTTAGCTGAGATTTGGGCACACGTTCATGTGATTGCACGTAACATTATGCAGCTCCTTACTGCCTTTACAATTAGACAGGCCCTGTGTTAGCCATGTTACCAGAGGAACTACCAGACCCCACAGGCTGCAGCACTTTTACTCTGTTCCCAACTCACAGAACCTCACACTTCTCAACCCAACAGTCCTTTCTTTCATTTGGAGGGACCAGAAAGAGAGGAATTTGTAAGCAGCCGAGGCACAAATACAGGCACGCTGGGGAGGCTCTGCTCCCGCGCTCCGTTAATGGGCTGTGGGATTTGAGTCGGGTGAGGAGAGCTGTGCCTGGTGCTCACAGCAGGCTGAGCTGGAAAGACGGGGCTCCCCACATTAACACTCCGTGAGCTGCATCAAACGGAGTTATCATATTAGCTGCCTGAAACTGTGTCACAGCTTTATTTTTAGTACACGTCTGTGCCCCTGGGATGTATTTTATTTACCAAGGAATTGGACCTAAACAGAGATGTTAACATCAGCGCACTAAAGGGCACTTCAGACAACTCTTTTTGAGGGCTGTACGTGCATTTGGGGAAGGAAAGGCAGAGTGAGTGGACGAGCCAAATGCCGTGCACGCGTCTTCCTGCGTCACTCATTGGAATCACAGTTTGTTGTTCAGTTGCTCTGAAAAAGAACTATAATAAAATATCTCACTGAAAAGAAAAAAGATGTAATTTTAATAAAGAAAAACATTAAGAATATGGAAGAACCTTATTTAAAGCAATACTGCAGAACAGAGCAGGCAAGAACTTGCTGAAGATCTTGGCAAAAGATATCACACAATTATTGCTCAATATGTTTCACAGGCTGCCATTGGCACCAACAGCGGGTGCAAGCATTGGCTCAGGGCTGCTGATCCCAACTCGAATGCTGCTCATCGTGCAGCAGCACTGCTTTGCACTGTATGGCTAAGGACAGTTAAGATGCTGCTCTTTCAAAGGTGTTATCCTGACTCCAGCTTTACTTCCTCGAGAATCCTTTGATCCTCAACTGACAGCCACAACAGTGACCTATGGGCCCACGTGAGAGCTGGCAGCGCACACAGGGAGGCTCGAGTCCCAGTGAAGCATGTGTCAGGTTGAAGATAGGGGGGAAAAAAAGACATTTTATAGCAGATTTCATCAAATGTTCCAGGTGAAAACTGGCGGAACTGCATAGAGAAGACACCAAAAAATGGGATACAATTTTCTAACTTCTCAAGCATGAGCTGTGCAGCAGACAAAGGACACTGATCGGGAAGGACTGCTGTTCTGATGCTAAGAAATAGAGCACAGAATTGTAAAAAGCTTTTGTCAATAGAATTTCATACCCAATTATTGTCACAGGACTCTCAAATTTTATTTTCCGCAATTCCTCTGGCACAAGGCCAGATCTCACATGACCTCCATAATTTTCTTAATCGCATCAATGAAATCATCTTTCCTTCAAGGCAACCTTTTTTTTTTTTTTTTTTTTTTTTTCCCCCGTTAAGAGACCTGATTCCTCTTAGAATTTGGAACCATTTCATAACTGAATAGTAATTTTTCTCTTACGGAGAGGAACATCAGCAAACCTTTGGTTTTATTACAGTCATACTTGACGGTACCCACCCACACGGGACGCTCCAGAGAGGGCTTTTTCTTGTTCATTTCATGGAAAATGCTTATGTCAAGTGGCAACTCTGAACACAAGTAAGGAGTGGACAATACACACCTGCACAGGATCGTCAGGAGACAGATGGCCTCTTCTGCATGCTGCAGCGTTGAAGGATTGGCTGCCTCGCTGAGCAGGGATCGCAGCCGGTTCCTAGTCTCATTCCTACGTTCAGTCTGGGTGAGCAACACAGAGCCAGAGCTGGTCTGGACCTACCAGGTACACTAACAATTAACATGTTATTCTAGGAGCTCTGTAGTTCTTCATTATTCCCCTTTTCAGTAAAAGCTTTCACTGATCTTCTTTGTATTTTTTTTTCCTTAGGTGATCCGAGCCCCAGCTTCAAGAAAAATACTGAAACCTAAGAAAAGTGATTAACTTAGCAAATGCTGGTGATGGGATCAACTCAGCAGAGTACTTTCCTGCAGGACACCAGTCTACCTGCCTTCTCTGCCCAAACTGTGCTCAGTAAGGCAGGCGGCAGAGAGCACTGCAATTCAAGAGCGACTGCTCATTTCTTTGTCCCTCCACAGGACACTGGCTACAAATCTCTGCAGAAATGCATCTGAAGATATTTTGAAAATTTGCCTCCACTGATGAGAAAATTAAGTGGTGACTCATGCTCCCATCAGCTCCACGCTTGATTACTGCAATTTGATGGACTGAGAAGCTGATATTCCACCGAGATGGCAATTTGCTTAGGGGAGCAGCTGAGAGGCCTCATTGGCACCAATTGCTTCCAACACATCTCTCTTATCCTTTTAATCACTAGGAAATTTAATTTCACTTCTCACT